GGGGTTTAAACGTTATCCAAATTGAAATCCGCCAGTACCTACACACTCGTGTGGACAAAGGGATCCTTCTAGGACTGAATGTGGTCCCCATCATACTGCCTACACACCGCTACACACGCTGGCAACGAGTGGGTGTCTTGTAACTTTCTGGCGGCCGGAGAAACTGCAAACCGCCGGCCCAAACTCCTACTGTAGGTGTAAAACCCTATTTGGAACCCCTTTTGTTTTTGGACTTATCCCAAAAACTGCCGGAGTGGCCAGCACTGCGATCCCAAACCGGCCTCGAAAAATCGAACTATCTATGCTTTGAATCGATGAAACCTACCCAACCATTAGCTAGATTATGAAAAGTAGCTAGAATCCATACCCTAATCGATCGATTTGGCTACTAGAAGAGAGAGATTGAGAGATTTGAAATTCGGAGAAAAATCCAGCCAAAACCTTCTGTTTCCGGTGACTACGCGTCGATGGGGCGGGGAAGGTGTCGGCTGCGACGGTAGAAGCTGGCCAGTGTGGTTTGGGTCCGGTCCCGTGGGTTGTGTCGGCTACGTCATAGATGTACCCCAAATTTTTTCTTGATTTAATGACATCCTCAACACGTCAGGAAACAATTATACGACGACGCAAGATCTGCGTCATAGATGTACCTCACCTTTTTCTTAATTTAACAATGTCCTCAACATTCATGAAACAGTTAGTGAAACAATTATACGACGACGCAAGATCTGCGTCATAGATGTACCCCAAATTTTTTCTTCATTTAACGACGTCCTCACACGTCATGAAACAGTTATACGACGACGCATGATCTGCGTCATAGATGTACCCCAAATTTTTTCTTAATTTAACGACGTCATCTACACGTCATGAACACTAATAAAACGATGCAGGAGCTGAGTCATGATATATCCCTTTTTTTAAAAAAATTTAATGACGTCCTCTACACGTCATGAAATACTTATATGGGTCATAGAATTATTTTTCAACGGCGTTTCCTACGAGTCACAGATCTACCAAATTTCCCCCTTTTTTTTTATGGCTTTGCGCCACTTTTTTCCAAATTACATTTGCTATTGTTTCACGGGCAGAATATTTTCAATAACCTAACATAACGCATCTTCTGCACCATAAAATCTTTAGCACTTTAATGACGTAGCATATGAGTCATAGATTTGTAATTTTTTTCCCCCCAAAATTTTTTGCATGCCGCCCTTTTTTCACCAAATTTGAGTATGGTGCATATTTTTTTAGGGATCAAATTCTCTCTCCCTTACAGAACCTCATATTCTATCTCCAATCTCTAATTCATTCTTTAATCCCAATGCTCTCTTAGATCTCTTCCTTCTCATACTTTGCAATTTCCTCTCTCTCTCTCTCTCTCTCCTCTCTCCTCTCTCTCTCCTCTCTCTCTCTCTCTCATCAAATCCCATCGAAACCCTCCCTCTCTTTCTTTTGGCTTCTTCTCTGTCTCTCACTAGAACATTGAAGAGCTTCAACTCCTCATCACTAGAAGACATCGCTCAAGGGCAATTGCTTCGAAGGTGAAGGTTGAGTGCCAGTTCCCAAGGTGCGATTTCGTAAAGCCCTAACCTCCATGCTTGAACAGAGTTTTTGGTATCAGTTTAGGATTGATTTGAACGCCTAGGTACCCAGCTACCAATGGTCCTAAAGGCCCACACAACTCTCAATGTTAACGCAACTTCTAGCTTGCCAACTTGGGGGACTAGGGAAAGCCCTACGGCTCCCATTGACCTGGATTGCTCGGTCATGATTACACAAAAACTAACAAGTTCCCAACTCATAAGTTACTTCTTGATCGCGAACTTGGGGACTACTGTTTACACCATAATCAAGCGAGCATATCCAGCCTCAAAACAATTAGCACCCAAGGTAGCCACGCCTTCTCCCCTGCCGAAGGAAGGCACTCTACCAAGGTGCCAACATCTGCCGAAGCTCCCGCTGTCGAACTCTCAAACTGCCGAACCTATCTCCATGACACGTGTCACCACCCACAGCGACTTGCACAAAGTCCCACATCGAAATTCTACACCCAACCTCTCACTTTCACTTCCCTATAATAGGGAACAGTACCCTAGTAAAAGGGGGTAACTACTTTCTTACCTTTTACTGTTACTCTGCTAAAGTTACTACTCTTAGCTGACTTAAGCATCGGAGAGCCTTAGGCCGGCACCACACCAGTGTCCGAAGCTTAACGATTGCTTCTCATACTTTGTCTTCTGTAGGCTCAACCCTTACAAAGGTCATCACCTTCTCCACTGCTGAAGACAAACCCTTTTTCCTCTAAGTTGATCCTCTTCGAAAAAGAGCATCAACATCTGTAGCTTGCTTTTATTGTAGATTCTATGTGAATGTTTGTTTTTTATTTGGATTCTATACGTATGTGATTTTGTTTGATGGAATCCAAGATCCTACTTGCATTTCTGATTTTATTTGATTGAATATGGATTCTAGTTGTGCGTTAGTATTTAGAATTTTTATTTTTGTTTTATTTCAGATAGTAATTACGATTTTGTAAAAATTTCTCCTCCTGGTTATTATTTTGGTATTATCAGTAGCATAAGAATACAACACTTCAAACTTATTTTCTTCATGGGCACTTCAATCATCGTTTTGTACTGGGTGGGCATGTGGTGTTGGAATTTTAGTTCTTGCTTGAAATTTTAATTTGGTATCTTATTCCCTGACATTTTATTCTTTGATGCAGCTCTTAATAAAGATGAGTTAATTCAAATAGTGAGGTTTGATGCTGAAATGGTGTTGCTCATATGCATGCACAAGTTGCCGAACTTGTATTAATCTTGCTATTGCAGATATTGTCCTTCTTTATGATAGTGATAGGTATTAATCATGCACTGAGATGATACATTACCAGCTATGCATTGCTGGCATTATGTAGTTCTTTATCAAACCATGATTTTCATTTTCAAACAGTACATGTACTACTGAGGAGAAAGTGATTGAGAGGGCTTATAACTACGTATCGATTCTTTTCTTCTTCTTTTTCTAGACCATTGAAAGCAGTCTCTTGAGATTCAGGGTCTGTGAAGTCTTTTGAAGCCAACTTGCTGAAGTGAACATGCCTCCAAAAACAAATGCAAATGGTAGAAGATTGAAGAGAGATGAAGTCTATTCTCACCCAGTACCCTCTTATTCTTCAATGTCTGAATCATGTCCTCGTTGACGAGAAGAGAGATGAATGAAGTTATGTACTTAGTTAATTTAAATGTACTAAAGACAATTTATTTTCATTAAACTTCTCGTGATGTACTAGAATCATTTTGAGCATAGAAAATAATTTAAAATATTTATTAGCCTTTGTGTCTTCATTTCTGCTTCCATCTATTAATTTGTTTTTTGCATAATTAAAATGATGGGATATATATATATATATATATATGATTAAAATTTTTATTGAATTATTTTATAGAATTTCAACGACATCTGACCGTGTCTAAAAATCTTTCAACAACGTCTCATCAATGTCTTAAGTTCATGATGCCTATACCACGTCATGTAAGGCCATCTCCAGTAATAGGGCTAATGTAGTCCAGGGCCAAAAATTTAGCCCCTCAAAATATTAATTTTTTAAAGAATAGTGTATGGCTAAATTTTTCCATCTCCAGCCATGTAGCTATATTTTAGGGTCCTTCATATTTTATTATTTTTGAAAAGGGGAGTGGGGAATGCTTTAAATGATTGGTTGTTGAAAGCACATGGATGGGGCCCACTATAAATTTGGCCTAGGCCAAAACTAGGCTACATGTTGGCGCGGTTGGAGGGCTAAATGCCAATGTGGCCCTCCAAATTTGGCATGAATTTTTTAGCCCATTGCTGGAGATGGTTTTTGCATTAATTTAGGGCTATTTGGGATATAGCCCATGGCTGGAGATGGCCTAAATTCCTACAGAGGGTGTTAAATAGAATGTCATATTCTTAACGCGTCTAATTAATGTCATCAAAACCTCATCCATGACATTGAGGACGCGTCATGGAAAAAGTAAGATGACATGCGATCCGCATCTTGAAACCCATTCATGACGCAAAACAACATCATGTTTTGAAAAACTTTTCCATAACCCCGCCTTTCCACGACGCGGGTTACGACGCCTGATCCACGTCATTAAATGTCTTCCCTGACGCAAATCAACGTTATGTAAAGTTTTTTGTGTTGTAATGCACTACATGTCTACGAACTCGTTTCAACATGCTCTATGCAACAGCACACTCGAAATTTCCAAATTCCTTCCCGGTCAAAAATCAACTCTGGACCTAATAAATAGCCTAGGGGCCTTTTAGTCTTTTCCTCCAATAATTAATAATTAAAAACTAATTAAGGATACATGAATAGTGGTTGCATGGTAATGGGTGGAAACACCACAAGTTGCAATGGCTGCCACTATTCAAGTGAATATAATAGCTCTTGCTCTCCTCCTTACCATTTTGCCATGACAAATGGATGGAAGTGCTCTAGTATATATCCTAGTACTAGCTAGAAACAGCATAGTTTTGGACTACATTGTGTTATTTATACTATTTTTTAATATTAAATTTTATCTAGAGGAGACTGGATTTCTGAGTTGGAACCCTTACATGACCTGTGTTTCAATGACCAAATAGATGAGTCAGTAATATATAGGCAAAGTGACTCGTGTTTCCGTGACCAAATTATAAGCCAAGAACATAAATATATTCGAGCAATATAGCTAGAAATCCAAGAAAATAATATATTCGAGCAAGCATGAAATTAAAAGCACACAACATATTATTGAAAAGATGAACAACTTATTTCGTACGGGAACACTGGAAATTAAATACACAGCCGGGCATCAGACTGACGTTACTAATGTAATGACAACGACATTGCCCGTTATTTAACCAATTACAGACATAGCAGAAACACACAAACAAAAACAGCACGGAAAAGCTTTCATTTTTACTAAGGACACAAAGCCATGGATATTTTATGACGACGACATTGTTTAATTGGCAGCATTCTGCAGACGAGGGTGGCAGCAGTTATATTTGACCAACTTGGTCTCCATGGGGTCGTCACAGACTGGGCAGTCCAAATGCATTGGGGCATTTCCAGCAATCTGGAAGGTGATGCAGGAGAGTCCATTTTTTCCCAGTTATAGACTGTCATGGTGCTTGGTGAAAGCATGTCCCCATTCTTCCCCAATTATGTGTTTGCGTCCAGACAGAAAATTCCTCTAGGGTTGTGACAATAGTGTTAGCCTGACCACAGGTCACCACAGTCCCTCCTTTGGTAAGCATAATCCATCCGTTTGATATCGTTTTTGTAAGAAATAGCTTCTGGACTTCTTTTGTCACCTGCTTGTACTCGTACTCGTTGCTAGAGTGAGCCAAGCTAAAGAGAGGTTTTCCATGCCGAACCAGAAAGTCTTCGCAGTCTCCGATTCTTTCTTAACACTAGCTAACCCAAACTGTATTTTCAGTTCTTTGCCATCAATGGCAACCTTTGCTTTGTTATCCCTTCCGAACAAGTCATGGTCGTTTCCTCGTTGCCTCCAATGAAGAAAGTGTACCCTTGGTTTTCCATCTGTTGCAGCACATTTAACGAATAATTTACTTATTAAATATTCCACAATTAATAGAAGTGCTGCTATTTATCAACATTTACTGACCACCCTCTCTAATACAGTAGGTTTCCACTTTTATTAGAGAGTTGGTCAACAAAGTGATAACAAATGCAAATAATATCATTGATTAATAAATATGTACCGAGTCTAGAAGGTGGTCATCGTCCTTTGTAATATGATCCACTACTGGCTTAAGCATTGTGTCGACCTTAATATCCAGGAAAGCAAAGAAATATATACCAAATTCCTTAATCAAGGTAAGCGCATTGGTGTTTATCAACCTTTCCTTGGGGGTTGATCAACACCGCTGTGGAATTTCCCCTGACACTCCACTCTTTCTTGAGGTACATGTATGATGCTGAGGGATATTGCACTGCGTACCACGGCATCTGCTCCTTCCATTTCTTAAACGGCAACTCTTTCTTTTGGGCTTCAGTCGTCCCAGTCACCCTCAAAGGGGATCCACACAATCTTGCATTTATACTCTTCATCAATTCTTTTGTACAGATTTTTGAGCAGCGAAAGTTCTTCGTTCGATATATTTTCCAGGCTCGAGATATAAAACAACACATATTTCCCCCTCACCCTCATCCATAATTTATTGCCACCGATCTGTTGATCATCCATCAAGCAAAGTTTTCATTTTTAATTTTATCTTTTAGAGACCGCCAAAACACTAGGGTCACTTTATTTACCAAATTTATCACTTTATAAACTTCAGTTATTATTGTTAACAGTAAAGAAAGTTTAATTGATAAACCACGCCATTTGGTAAATATATAATTTGGTGAACATCCTTGGTGTTTTCTAGCATTATTAAGCACTGTGTTACAAGAGCAAACCTCCTTGTTATTTGAATCGCACTTAATGACGGGCTGCTGATTGACAGTATCGTTGTAGAGAATCAAGGTGCTGATAACCTTCGGTGATGCTATGACAGATTACAATTCTTTACGAATCCACCAGTACTTAGCTGCCTCCGCTGTATTGAATAAGTAAAACAAAAACACAAACCATAATTTACAATATACCCATATATAATTTTTTTTAAATGTAAGACATCCATTGAACAGATATGCAAAATTTGAAATAACAAAAGTTAACAAAATGTCAACAAGTTATTGGCAGTTATCGATTGGCAGATTATGACAAGTAATTACAAATTCGGTTTTTACGTAAGGACTAACGCATGTAAGAGAAATACTAACTAGTTCATCATTCATATGTTTCCTTTTTATGAGGGATCCTTCGGACATCTTGTGAGGTCCACCCACAAATTTTACCTCAACAATCTGAGCCGTCTATATTTCAATCGTCTATTTTTTTTAATTTTTCATTCATAGATCATCATTGCAAAAGCTTAGATCAATTGAAAACTATTAAGACAATTAGTTGGGACCAACAAGAAAAACAAATTAAAAGCCATTAAGAATCTACTGACTGATCTAGGGCAAGATTATAACTTCCCCTGCTTTCTAGGGAGAAGGAGCACACATGAAATTGCTCATGTTGGTGTTCCCCTTCACCATGACTGTCATGGGGTAAAAAGGTTTGAAAAAAGGCCTTTAAGAGGTTGAGGCAAAGCCAGAGAATTAGAAAGAAAAATCCATAGAATTGTACCACACACACACACACATAATCCCCTTTTTCTTTCACACATCTGTCATATGTCCTTAAGCTCCTTGACGAGTTCATTGATTTTCTCTTCTCCAGGTAAAGCTTGGGTAGATTGTCCACTCGTCCCTGACCGGAGAAAATCATGTTTTGATCATGATAACCAAATACAAGTACATTTTAATTGTGTAAAAAAGGGTATATTATATATATTGAATAAATTTTCTTGAAATATAATGTTCTAAATTAAATTAATGGAAGAAACTTACTTATCCTGGTAAGACGGTTGATCTTAGCCCGTACAAGCTACCATAGTGTAGATTTGTCCAATAACTGCCGTTGGGATTTTTTTCATTGCAGTGGTCTGTAGGAATCATTTGGATTGTTGTGCGTAGAAGATCCTCCAGCTTAACGATGTAACCAATCACATGATATGTTTCCATGATCAAATTGTTTAAAGCTCGCAATCGCAGCCCTGCGTTTCTTTAGGTTTCGTTTTGTTTGATAAAGGATCGCACTCGCTTAAGGATTGCCACTGACTTGGTAGTTTGTCACACTGGCCATAGTTCTGGGCAAGGTGCCAGAAATCTCCATATTCCAAGCAAAGGCTGCTAGTGTTAGCACTGCCTTCGCTTCCCATGAAAACGTTTTAGCTTTTTAAATATTGCTTCATCCTTAAAGGGAGGAAACTGTTCACCATCCTTACATGATGACATCTGAATTTCAGCGCAATATATACTAAATCAGTCTTGTTAATGCGCACATATAGATCCAAATCCAATAATTTATGGTCTATTGCGTTTCTCCAGAAAAAGCATATAAAAAAAAATTCGACTTAAAAACAGATATATATATATATATAATATATATAAACCACATTAAATATTACTATGGATGTCATATGACCTGGCAGCTATTGGATTCAGAAGGCATATGAGAGAGGAGGTGTCGTCCCCGTCGTATATTGTCATGTCAGATACATTGTGCTGCAGAAAATCAAAGTGATGAAATTAAGTCATCATGTACTAAAAAATAGTAGTGTTCTAATACATACTAAAACCTATAGAGGTACTTACTGTAGAATATCATCAACGATGGAGTTATTGGCTGCTTCATCATGATGTTCCCAGTGACTGATAAAGATCGCGAACGCTAAAGCTGAGATTGTTCGGGTCAGGAAAGTGGTTTTCATGAACAACAGGCCAGATTTGGTCTTCAGAAACGTAAGACTCAACCCTTTCACCCGGATGTGCTCCTCATGAGTCACGGTGGTACTAATATGTACTCCTTCCCTTTTTGGGCAGAGGACTCAACTGTGGCATTCCGCGCTTTGTTTTTAGGCAGGGCTTGTCATCATCGATGGCTTACGAAAAATCTTTCAGGGTTTCAATATGGCAGAAGAAAGAAGAGAGAAATATCAGACTTAGGGCTAATGGCTTGTAAGTCTCTTGGGGTGAGTTCATACAATGCCCACTGCCCCTATTTATAGCCCCATCCTGCAATGCATGCCCACTCCCAACTTGCCACGTAGTGCCCACCATTTGGATTTGTAGATTCTTTGTACAAGAAAAAAAAAAAAAAAAAAAAGTCTTGTAGACTACCAAGTCAATATGTTGGTTACTTTTCTTCTTTCTTTATCATTGTACAGTCCATTTAATACTTTGATGCCAGCTGGCTATTATGTAGAAGTCACCCAGTTTGCCATCACAGCTAAAATTCCACTACATGTGTATGCATGGACTGAAAATTTCACTTATTTTAATTAATACTTGTACGGGATTGAACATATGTGTACACATGAACTGAAAATTCCACTAAATTCAATTAATACTTGTACGGGATCCAATACATGTGTAACGCATAACCGAAAATTTTGTTAATTCAATGAATACGTGTATAGGTGCGGACGCCACCCACTTTTTTGTTTTGGTTTATGTCAACATTAATGCTATTTAGATATATAAAATATTAGCTAATCACCTTATATACGACAGTTGATGTGGTCATGTCATATCAATCAATGAATATTATCATGTCATATCAGTTGTTGTGGAATTTCCCCTTACACCCCACTCTTTCTTGAGGTACATGTATGATGCTGAGGGAGAATATTGCACTGCGTACCACGACATCTGCTCCTTCCATTTCTTAAACTGCAACTCTTTCTTTTGGGCTTCAGTCGTCCAGTCACCCTCAAAGGGGATCCACACAATCTTGCATTTATACTCTTCATCAATTCTTTTGTACAGATTTTTGAGCAGCGAAAGTTCTTCGTTCGATATATTTTCCAGGCTCGAGATATAAAACAACACATATTTCCCCCTCACCTCATCCATAAATGTATCTCCACCGATCTGTTGATCATCCATCAAGCAAAGTTTTAATTTTTAATTTTATCTTTTAGAGACCGCCAAACACTAGGGTCACTTTATTTACCAAATTTATCACTTTATAAACTTCAGTTATTATTGTTAACAGTAAAGAAAGTTTAAATTGAATAACCACGCCATTTGGTAAATATAAATTTGGTGAACATCTTGGGTGTTTCTAGCATTATTAAGCACTGTGTTACAAGAGCAAACCTCCTTGTTATTTGAATCGCACTTAATGACGGGCTGCTGATTGACAGTATTGTTAGAGAATCAAGGTGCTGATAACCTTCGTGATGCTATCACAGATTACAAGTTCTCTACGAATCCACCAGTATTTAGCTGCCTCCGCTGTATTGAATACGTAAAACAAAAAAACAAAACCAATAATTTACAAATATACCCATATATAATTTTTCTAAATGTAAGATGAAACGACCCGACCCAATTTCCACTTTGAAATCCGGGCCGAATCCTGTTTAAAACTGACATCTGGTAACTGTGGGTCGTAAATGATCAAAAGGCCCTGAAAAACAAAAACACAAACCCTAAGGCCCTAACTCGTGGCTGCGCCTGGTAACGGTAGGCTGCCTACGTACCCTTACTGAGGGATCAAGCCACACGTAGTTCTTTCCTCTGTTCTTGACCTGGAACTAGTTCGTTATTTTGTAACTGGTTTAATTATCCGTAAAACATACTCTAGGGCTGACATTTCTGGAGTATCCGGGAACTCCGTTTTACGATCCGTCAAATACTATACGATCCTGGAAATACCTAGATCAACATACTTGAAATTGACTACGATCCAACGGTTCAAAACGTATAGAACCCGGAAATCGCATACTAGGCGAGATCCGTTCGGGTAATTGGTGTATCCTCTTTTACTGTTGAATGAAATGGAATTATCGTTTTGAAAGAAAAAAAAATGTCTTGAAGTGAACTCTATGATTTATGGCATGCAATATAACTCTCCTTTGAACTCTATGATTAATATTATTGATGTTCTTTAAGCAAATAAGTGGTAGAATTGTCAAAAATTGTACACCCCCCCTCACATGGGAATTGATTCAACTAATGATCAAAACGATGGATCTTATTTTTATGTTCTTTGGAAATTTCTTATTTGTCATGTTCCTTGAGGATTGATATCATATGGATCAGGTAATATCTAATTTAGGACTTGGTAGCTACAAAAAATAAAAATAACAAAATAACAAATAATCCATTCGGAAACAATGGGAAGTTGTTGCCAAATGTCAAAATTTGTTACCTAAACATACAGTCAACAAAAAATTATCGTTGCAAACATCATTGTAGTATGTCCGTGTCCTAATGGAATATGCAACAAAATAACAAAGTTGTTGCTCAAGCACTATTACGATTTGTTGTCTGTCTTAAGGAAAGTTGTTGCCTTTTCTCTTCCTCAACAACTTTCTTGTCGTTGTGTATCACCGAAAGAAAATAGACGTAAATGTTCCTGATTATTATAGGGGACAAATTTTAGTCTCCTATAAGAGCACCCTCCAGCGCCCAACCCAAACTGGGTGAAAGGCTGCCAGAGAGAGCCCGAGATGGCTCCAGCACAGGGCCCGTAGCTCGTTTCGTGGTGGGTCCCACGAGCCCGAGGAAGCCCAAGGGCAAGTCTTGCCGGGCTGAAGCCCGAGTTTGGTGACGTCAGCGCTGGCGTCACACTGACGCCAGCGCACGGTAACTCAAATTTTTTTACGTTGGGGCGTGAATTACACGCGCCAATGGTAAAAAAATTGGGAAATGACCCCCACTACCACCCATTTGCTAATATTAACTAAAAATACCACCCCTTCCCAATTTTTGTAAAACTATAACCTATAAATATAAAATTATTGTCCTCCTATTGCTGATTTATCACAAGTTCATAAATTTTGGTCTCTCTTAGCTCACGCAGCTCTCTCTCTCTCTCTCTCTGGCACAGCTCTCTTTCTCTTTGGTATATGTCTATCGCAGCTCTCTGTCTCTCTTGGCTCTCTCTCTCTGTAGCACAACTCTCTGTCTCTGTCTTTGCTCTCTTTCTCATACCGCAGCTCTTTCTCTCTCTAGATTCGTTATGTCTGTTCTCCCCATATTCGGTCTTGCTCTCTGTTTGGAATCGCGAACCCCTACCTTTAGGTATGTCTTCTGAATAGCTGCTTGCAACCGTGAAGCTCTAGTGGATTGCCGACCTCGAAAAGGTAGTGTTGATGGTTATTTTCTTTTAATATCAGTGGGATTATGTGAAATGGGTTACATTTTGATTGTTTGGGTTTGTGTTAAATTTGTTTTGGCTTTAATTGCTTTGGGTTAGGTTTTGTTGAATATCCATGCTGATTCATCTGGGTTTGTACCAATTGCACTTAGATTGGTCTGGATATGTGAATCTTGAAACTTGGGATTTTCCATTTGATGTAGTAGATCTGTATAGTGTGATTCTGATGTGTTACACCAGTGTTCCTCTTATTTTACTGTCGTATTGTTGTTATGTTGCTGTTATATTGCCATTATATTGCTGTTATATTGCTGTTATATTGTATGGTTATTGTGGTTATATTGCTGCTATATTGTATGGTTATTGTGGTATATTGCTGTTATATTGTATGGTTATTGTGGTTATATTGTGTTAATGAACTGTTGTTTTGTCATGGTCAGAAATGGAGACAATTGTTATTCTCGTGTGCTACAATGGAAAATGGGGTCACCTCGAAGAAGATGTGCAAATACGAAGGGGGTGACTCAAAAGGCTTAATAGTTCCACGGACCATCAAATTTGCTGAACTGTTGGACCGTGTGCATCAGATTGGTAATACAAACAGCAGGGAAGACAAGGTTTGCTTAAAATTCTCAGTTTTGGTGGCCTCGAATGAGTGGAAGCACATAAAGATTGAGGATGATGATGATGTCAATTTTTTTATGAAGTACAATTCTGAGGTAACACCTTCAAAACTAGCTCCCTTACTCGTGAGTATAGAAGATAAAGGACTCACAAATGATGTAGTTGATAGTATGCATATCACGACAAATAGTAGTCGGATGGGTCGTTCTTCAGTCGCCATTGTTGAAAGCAATGAAGTAAGTTGGAATAATACAAATGGCAATGATGTGGGAGGTGAAGTAGGGACAGATTTTATGGATATGATTGATTTTAGCGAGGTGGAGGACATGCATGGTGGTGATAATGGTACTGAAAGAAATGAAGTGTCAGTGTACTCTGCCCCTCCTATTTTGGGCTGCTTGAACACATCTGCCCAACTGCCAATAATGCGTTTAGGAGGAGAATCTGAACCCATTCGTGAACATTATTGGAATCAAATAGGTGAACAGAACCGGTACAATGAAGCCGGTGTAAATGATGGGGAAGCATATTTGGATAGCGGGTGTTCGCGAAGTGATTGGAATCCGAAAATTACAGTTGGGCAAATTTTCTCTAGTAAGAAAGCATTGTTGACGGAGTTACAGTTGACGGCAATAAGAGGCCACTTCGAATTTAAGGTGCAATTCTCCTGCACAAAGAGGTTGCTTGTGGTTTGTTGTCAACGTCCATGCCCATGGCGGGTCCGAGCATCGAGATTTGGAGAATACAGCTTCATGATTGTGAGGTGTACAACTGTCCATGAATGTGATTTGAGGTTCATAAGTGACAACCATCGTCAAGCAACCGCAGCACTTGTAGCCACTTCATGTAAAAGGAAGTTGAAGGATTCTCGGACAATATACACACCAAGTGACATTATGAGAGATGTGAAACACAACTTTGGTTTAAGAATCCATTATTCGAAAGCTTGGAAAGCAAGGGAGTTAGCTCTATTGTCCATTAGAGGATCAGCGGAGGAGGCATATTATATTCTTCCAGCTTATTGCTATGAATTGGAGCGTATGAATCCCGGCACAAAAACACACATCCAAACTGATGAGAACAATCACTTTGTGTATTTATTTATGGCGGTTGGCGCATGTATTAGAGGGTTTTGTTCTTCCATGCGCCCAGTGATAGCTGTGGATGCCACTCATTTAAAATCCAAGTACAAGGGTGTTATGTTTGTAGCAAATGCATTCGATGGTAATCGAAATATATATCCTCTTGCTTTTGGGATCGGGGATTTGGAGACGGATGCATCATGGCATTGGTTTTTCACTAAACTTCATGAAGCCATTGGTGAGTGTCCCAATCTTGTTATTATTTCTGATCGAAATGTTAGCATACAGAATGTGTGGAACAAAGTTTTTCCAACTGCGCAACATGGCATATGCTTTTATCATATGAAGGGGAACATGAAACGCACTTGCAAGTTGAAAAAGCGTGATCCAATACTTATGCACTTTGAGCAGGCTGCGAAATCTTATTCCATTGCTGAATTTGATTGTCATTTTCGCAAGATCAAGCGAAAGGAACATGTTGCTCAATATCTTGAAGAGGCAGGGTTACATAAGTGGTCTAGAGCTCACATGGATGGACGCCGCTACAATGTAATGACAACAAATATTGCGGAGTCAATCAACTCAGTCCTTAGGTTTGCAAGGACGCTGCCAGTGGTTCATTTGATAGGGGAAATTATGAATCTCCTTGTCAAATGGTTCACCGAACGTCGTGAGTTGGCTTTGAAGTGCACAACAACATTGTGCCCCAATTTTGGAGAGAAGAAGTTGAGGAACAGGTTGGAGGATGCTGCAAGGATGAATGTGGTTAAAGTGAATAATGCACAGTTTAATGTTTTGGACGGTCATATGGATGGCCTCGTAGATTTGACGAACAACACTTGCAGTTGTAGAAAGTTTCAGCTTGAGCAGCTACCTTGCAAGCATGTAGTTGCAGTTTGCCGCTTCTTGAAAGTAAATGTATACTCAAAGGCTTCTCGGTATTACACTCGGAAAACCTGGATGGATGCTTATTCGGATAGCATCTACCCGATACAGCCTCACGGAATGTGGGATATTCCTGAAGATGTTCGAAGTCGAGTTGTGCTGCCTCCCATTGCAAGGGTCATGCCAGG